TTCTCCATAGAATCACCTATCTCCATCTTTATTATGTCACCTTAAGCCCCCTTTTACCAAATCAAATAGGAAGAATCTTTAACCATTGTAATTCTTTCCTTCAATCTTTTGAATATTCTTCCTTAAGGAAAATAAGCTAAAAGTTTAGCTATATTTTGGATCCTTGAAGACATAAATGAGATCATAATATAAATAAAGGAAATTAGAAAATGAAGATACAATTCATTTCAAAATACCATTTTATGAACCTCAAATAAAGGGGAGCATGTGGAAACATTTTGATTTTCAACTCTTTGATACATTCTTAGTCATCTGCATGTCATTATGATTAATTAGAAAGGTGGCATGAGCTAGAAATTAAGCATTCGTAGTAAATTGTCAAACACTTGTATATGTCATTCAGAATCATCTTAGTATAAAGATCCACAAGGGAGGATTTCAACATATTACCAATAAATATCCTTGAACAAACAAACTTAATTGAACAAACTTCCTACTCTATGAATCTCCCTTAAATAGGGGCGAAACTATTTAAATATTTATTTGTACTTGAATACATAATAAATTTTAAAATATCATCAACATCTTATATAATGATAATTATTCTTAAATAAAAATTATGTAACACCTCTATACAATGTGTCAAGGGTCCAAGGGGACAGCGCCCCCTGACGGGATTCAACCTGTAAGGGGAAAATTGCCTAAAGATCATAATTTTGAATTCTCTTTACTATTTATCTTTGTATTTGATTCATTGTTCCCTAACAATAACACCTCTACATAATGTGTTTAATTATGCTGGGGAAAATTGCCTAAAGACCATAGTATTTTAAAACATTCAAGGGGGCAATTGCCTAAAATCCCTTGTAATAACCCCTCTACACAATGTGTATAAGCTAGACCACTGGTCTAAGTAAGGTCTGATCTAAGTAAGGCCTTCCTTATTTATGTCTTAAACTGTAATATCAAAATCTGCTCCAGGATCGTCCAGGACGATTTGGGATCGTCCTGGGACGATCAGTTGAGATTTGCTCCAGAATTTGCCCAGATTTGCTCCAAGTGTTTTTCTGTAGGCATCGTCCGGGTCGATCGAGGCATCGGCAAGGCCTATTAGCACTGTTCAAAATATCGGCCGGAAAATAGTTCTGGGAACCATCCAGGACGATCAAATTTGGTCTGATTGTCCTGGGACGATCTGGCGATCGGCCGGGCCGATCTGACTTTTATAAAGCTGAAATCAAACGTTTTGAAGAGAGAGAAAATTTTATTAAAACGAAAATATCTTTTGAGGAGAGAGAAAGTCGAGGTGAAATTTGCAAAAGTGGATTTTCGGACGACGCGGAGCCATTTTCGTCCTACGAGACTGTTCGAGATATTGCTGTACGCAAGGTAAGACACATTCCGCCTTTCTCAATTTTCAGAACCGTCGTGTTTGGCGGTGTTTTCTGTTCGGATTTTGTTTCCGTTAGTGATTTTCGTCCGTATCTTTCGATTGGTTCAGTTTTTACCGCGTAATTTTATTTACTCTCTCTCCTTAAAAATATTATAACGTGTAATCATCTTATTAAAATATTATAATGAGACATGCATATTTGTCGAACCACTCTAAAATTTAATGAGATTTATGCATTTGTTCTTCTCCACACTATTCCATTCATCACATCTCACCCCCTAGTAACTCAAGTTGAACACATTCATTTCATATATATGATACTCTAATAGTTTTAATTTTTTGTTGCTTCACTGTGAAGTAGGTATGATACTTCTTGATAATCATCTTGTTTGATTATCAATAGTCTATGCACAATCCCATGCTTTCAATATTCAACTTTATGAATAAGAGTGGAACTTCATATGAAAATGTACATGACCAAATAAAATTGTTCCTTATCATGCCTTATAGTTCAATTTTTAGCTCATATAACACTGTAAAAACCATTCAAATTGAGGCCTTTGATATTGGCATCATCTTGAGTACAAGATTTAATGCAAATTATACCTCTTTCTTGAGTAATAATGCAGTCAAATATGCTAAAATATATCAATAATCCATAAATTATTGATATGCCCTCCATGTGAGTTGTTTCTTAAGCTGCCTCTTATATAATTGAAATAAGCTTGGCATCCTGTAACTCCAACTTTACTTTCATTTACATGGTTATTAAGGCATTCAAACTTCATCCTTTTTTACTTGGCTCTCAATTACAATATAATGTCAATATAGCCAATCCATTCCACTAAAGGAAAGTAAGGCTTTTACGACGGGCAAATCAGCCGAAAAATAAGCAAAACATGTTTTATGGCGGAATATATTCCGAAGCTAAAAGTCGCATCAGAACAATATTTACGTTAGACACAATCCATTGCAAATATTTTGCGATGGATTTATGGCAGATTTACGATGGGTTTAAACTCTAAAAAAATGACATGTTCGTTATAGTTATTCACCACAAATTCCGCAATTATTGGCTACTGATTTGAGGTGGATTTGCGATGAAAAAATCTATAACAATTTGAGATTGATTTGCAGCGGCCTAGTCTTCCCCATTTTATGGCAACAAACAGCTGGAGAAGAGGAGATGCAACCCTAGCAACCAACTGATAATGAAGGAGAAGCGGAAGTGCAAAGAGAAGTTGAAAAAGAATAAAGGGCAGAGAAGCGAAGTCGTAGAACAAAACGAGAAACGAAACATATGCACAACCAATCGGTTAGATAAGGGCAGTTTGCAGCGAATTTACAGTAGAATGATGGCAGATTTGCGGCAAAACTTTCGCCGCAAAAGTCATCCAAAATTTTCGACGAATTTTTTTTGTCGCAAATCCGTCGACATTTTCAACAAACAATATTCCACCATAAAATCCGCCGCAAACTACTAAATTTTCTGTAATGTTCCCATGATGATGCCAAATTCAATCAAAGGTAACATCTTTAATGAGAGATTAATAATTTCTTTTGAATCAATTTTCATGAACAGATATAATATATCAATACTATCTATTACCATCGACAAGGTAATGGCACATAATTAATGAACTTGACTAAGCTTTAATTTCTTGCATATAGTCTCAATTATGAATAAATGGAATGATTATCTTTACTTCATGAAATTACAATACATAATTGCTTCGAGTAATTATATCCTATTGGCCTATATACCTTCAAGAAATTCCTATCATAGCATTATTAAGGCTTTTGGAAGGATTATATTTCGTTTGGGACAATTTTTATGTTGCTTTTTCAAAAACAGCTTTTTAGTAAAAAATCGTCATAGAAAGTAGTAAGAAAACTATCCCAAATCAAGCCTAAGTTTAGTCTCAAATCATAATTGAAAAATCATCTTAAATTTTTAGATTGAAAATGAATTTGACCTGAATCATCATTAGTTCACTCACCTTAACATATCATAAAATAATAATAATAAATAAATAAATAAAACCTCACCTTAACAATATCATGCATATGTTAGTCATTGTTAAAATGTTTTAATCCACTTGATAGGCCCAAAAGATAATCCATAACTATGAGGCTAAACACTTTGTATTTATAACAATATTAGAGTTAACTAAGCATTGTCCATTTGTCCTTAGTGATTTCCTCGCACTTTAAAGAATTCAACTTGCTACTCTAAATATAGAATCATCATGCTCACAATCACTTTCATATTCAAACATGTCATCTCACTTGAGCATCCTTGAATAAATAGAAATTATATTCAAAATAATCTTCCCAATTTTTAATTTTTATAAGCTTAATAAAACATAAAAACAAAATCACAACATCAATTTTAAAATAAATTCTAATAATGATAGAACTCCATGAGTGAATCTTTATGTTTATAATCTATCTTTCAAATCTAAGTTAAATATCTTTGAAATATCACTTACCTTGGTTCATTGTTGCTCTTAGATGAAGAAAAGCTCATTGTTCACACCAATTTGATATTGACTCTTGATTTATAGATAGGATGATTGGGCAAGTAATAGTATGGAAATGAGCACACAATGTCAAGAAAGGCTACAACCTATGAAGTTGTGCAAGACTCTAATCATGTGATGCCATAGGAAGCAAGAAACACATGAGCAATTAGGAAAGGAGGGGAAGAGAAGCTAATTCATTTGCATTGAAAGAAGAGATCAAATACAAAAGAAAGATTTATTTTCAATTTGATCCAAGTACAAGATAGGATGATTGTTCATTTGAGATGGCTATAGCTTTTCATAAAAGTAGTTATAAAATTATGGTAGAGAAAGTAACTTCTACAAAAGTTGTTGTAGACAGCAGCTTCCTAACACAAAAAATTTTAAAAAATAGTAAAAAAATTGTGGTCAAATAAAAATTGTGGTTACAATATGAAAAACAAATTAGTAAGAAAATTATCTCAAATGAAGTCAAAATCAAATCTAATCCTACTCAAAATTAAAGCTAATCTAATCCTAACAAATATTTAAATTCAAACTTCTAATTATTCAAAAGAATAATCCATCATAATTTAAATAAAATAAATCCAAAAATCATAGTAAGCTGAAACAAATTTTAAAATATTAGAAATTATCTAAAAAAAAAATTCTAGCACAACATGACATAATCCTATGGAATTAATTGAACCATGCCAAATCTCCTGCTGCCATTTCTTCTTGGCTAAAGCCTGACATGAGAATATCTATAAGATTTTGATATAAGGCAACCCATTCACAGCCCTAAATTGGAGAAGTTCTTACGTGCAGAGTCCAAACACAAAGAACCGTTTGATTTTGTGCAGGTAAAAGTGCAGTTACTATTCACCAATGCGCTTTTAATGTTCACAGTCACAAAAATGAACGATTCTCTATATCCGGACTCCGCACGTAATAATCTCTACCCATATTAATCAGAATACATCAAACAAGAAATCAAGTCATATATATTTACTTTACAAGATATTATACGCATGTAATATATATGAAATATTAAATATTATAAGTACGTTTATACGCCATAAAAAATTAGCAAGAAAGCTCAATGCATAGAAAACGATGATAACAGCTTTATTCATTGTAACTATAACCTATAAAAATATAAAACAAAGTCACAAATGATTAGTCGTACATGCTGAGTACCTTTCATGTGAACTTTTTTCCTCGTTAAATATGGTTTTTGCAGTCTTTGCTGAATGGTGTAAATTAGTGTGAGCTTTGCAATTTAGGCTTCGTTTGGGACAGCTTTAAACTACAATTTTTTCTATTTTTTAGAGATTTTTGTATTAAAAAGTAGCTTTAAAAAGCAGTGAAAAAGCTGTCCCAAACGAAGCCTTGGATGCAGAAGAATGGTGTTTATGTTTTTAGCAAGGAAAACTTGTTGTCAACTTTATATGGTTAAGAGTAGTTTTGAGACCATACTTGATCACTGCCTCATTGCCAGCGCGAAAGCCATCTCCATATACAGGAGAAGGATCTAATTCTATTTGGATTTTGAAGAAATCACCGAGCTTCCTTTCAGATTCTGATCTTGTGCCTTTTTTAGGTAAAGTTGATGAAGAAGAGGAAGCAACATTGCTCCCGGTGCTGGACATGATCTCCGATTCTACCCACATATGAGCCAAAACCTGACAAATGCCTTCTTCCACTTTTAGATTGAGATCTCGATAACCTATCACCACAGGAAAGGGGCAATTACAAACATAAAAATTTTAATTATTTTACAAAATGAACATATTATTTTATCCATTTTTCAAAATTTTATCAAAATTTCAAAATTCATAATGAAATCCCCTATGTGGGATCATGGCGTGCTGAAAAAACACGGATTTTTGATAGTCTGATCATGGAAAGGGGCGAAATTTTTGATAGTCTGATCATGGCGTGCTGAAAAAACACGGATTTGATAGTTCAACAACAACAACAATATCAAGCTTTTATCTCACTATGTGGGATCGGCTATATGAATCTTTTTTCTCCTTTATGCCATGTTAAAAGTTAAATTTTTATTTAAATCTAATAAAGAAATATCATTTATAATATTTTCTAACAGTAAATTTAAGTCTACCTCTACCTTTCTTAACATAAATCAAATCAAATACATTTACTTTCCTAACCGGGTTATTGGAAGGCCACTGTTTTATGTGGCCAAGCCATCTAAAGAGACTCTCTCTAATCTTATCTTATACTGGAGCTACTCTAACCTTTCTTATATGCTCATTCCGTATCTTGTCTCTAAGAATAAAGTCACTCATCCATCTAAGCATCCTCATCTCTGCAACACTTAACTTAATATTATGCTTCTCTTTTAATGGTCAACATTATGCACCATAAATCATTGCAGGTCTAACCACCATCTTATAGAATTTCCCCTCAAGTTTGAGGGGCACTTTTCTATCACACAACAAATCCGATGCATTCCTCCACTTCAAACATCCAACTTGAATTCTACTAATAATATCCCCATCTATTTCACCATCACTTTGAACAATAAATCCAATATATCTAAAAAGGTGTAATCTTATTAATGACTTGATCATTCAAAGTCACAATCCTACCTCTAGAACTATTATTACTTAAATTATACTCCATATATTAAGTTTTAGATCTACTCAAACGAAAGCCTTTAGACTCTAAGGATGACCTTCATAACTCAAGTTTATCTTCAACTCTCTCTCTAGTCTTATCAACAAGAAGAATATTATCAGCAAAAAGCACACACCAGGGTACAACCTCTTGCAAATGTCTAGTGAGAACATCCATGACTAAAGCAAAAAGATATGGGCTATAGGTTGATCCTTGATGTAATCCAACTGAAATAGGAAAAAACTTGATCAAACCACCTTTTGTTTGAACACAAGTAATAGTTCATGCAGACATATCCTTAATGACTTGAATATAAGCATTATTACCCCCTTTCTTTTCTAGAACTCTCCATAGCACTTCTCTTAGAATTTTATCATATGCTTTCTCTAAATCAATAAATATCATATGTTGATCCTCCTTATTCTCTCTATACTTCTCCATCAAACCTCTCAATAAATGTATAGCTTCCATAGGAGACCTACCCAGCATGAATCCAAATTGATTTTGAGAAACATTAGTAAGGATGACGTCGCAAACAGATTTGATAGTTCAAAAAAAAAATTATATAGATTGTAATTTTATAAATAAACAAATTTTGAGTGTTATATATGAAATCCCCCTCAAAAAATTTCCCTAGTTCGGATTACATTTCTAATCACTCTTCACAGCCAAATGCAGTCACTAATCAACATGGGATCTCAGCACCGAGGAGTTTGCCTTTACTATTGAACATTTGCACATATCAGAATATCCCAGCACAAAAGTACCTTATCATATTGCTTTGAGAAGGTAAATGGAAAAAAGGGACATGCATTGACTTTATATGTCTTGTTACTTACCATCAGGGTATTTTACCGTTTATACTTTCTTATTTTAAATGAGTCAGAACAAGTTGCATTAAATTATTGTCAAATGCAGTGCGCTAATTAGAGCAAAATTGATGGTTGAAAGAAGAGAAATGTACCTTTAAGTCGCAGCCATGCATGCATCATCTCATGAGCAAGAATCGACCCTGTCAATAATCTACAAAAACAAATTTGGCACATATCATGCTATGGTAACAATAAGAAATGATTGGCATTTAAAACTGTAGATCTTTAATATTAAGCGCAAGAGAAGATTGTCCAAATGATGAGCATCCAACGTACAGTATAGGCAACTAAATGTGAAAGAGAGATACCACTCCCACCAAACCACTTTCAAAACATTTTTTCATATGGCATATAAAAAGTTTGGGCAATTAATTCGAAATTTATGCAGTAAATAATTATACAAAAAAAAAATTGTTATTAGTTTGGAACTTCAGAGATCAAAGCAAAGGAAGTACCTCGGTAGCCCATAGAGAATCAGAATTGCTGTTACTTCACAGTGTCTAGTAAGCCGGTATGGCTCTTTAATCATTTCAATGACTTTAGATCCTGGCCCAAACCTTGGTCTCCTTGATATCTGGTGGAGGTTAAATCGCCAATGAAAGCTTGAATTGCAAGACTAACAGTGGAAACATTTTTAAGTGGCTATATCATAGCTTCGAATGTCAGTTAATTAGTTCACTGACTTCTTATGATTGCCAGGTTAGGACAAAGATAGCTACTTTCTAGATGTTAATGAAGTTTTTGCTTACAATAACAAAACAAAACTAACTAAGGCTTCGTTTGGGACGACTTTCTTTTTGCTTTTTAAAGCAATTTTCTAGTATAGAAATTTTAATTTTTGTACTGAAAAGATGCTTTATGAAGCAGTAAGAAAGCCCTCCCAAACGAAGCCTAAATGATAAATTACATTAACATAAATAAAGTTGTATTTGAATAGCAGTGAACCAAAGCAAATAGAAGCAAAATAGAACTTACTGTGCTGACAATTTGCTCTTCTGATAGACAAAGACCTCTAGTTTCAGGAAGGTGATTGTGTCCCTGGAAACAAGATATAACTTAGATAACTGATTCTAAAGGTTAATGAGTCATTATGAAAAGAAAAAAATCATGCAAGTTTCATACTTGTTTTTCTCCTTCCATGGCTTCATTTAGAGCTTGTCTCTCAACCAAAAGCAATGGAATCTCCTGATCCACTTTCATATTTAAACCTTCAAAAAATTCCCTAATATCAATATAGAGTGGTTGGCACTCATTGGTATCCATTATTGCAGAATCCAAACATTCTAGACAAAGCTTCCGCCCATCATCCAGATTGACATATTTCGTATCTCTAAGCTGAACTCATGGTTCCAAAAAAAAAAAATACAGAGAGATTTAAAAGAACAAGATTAGATGTGAAGGCATCAACAGTAAAATGCACATAAACGGAAAGATTAGTTGCAATTGAATAATTTACAAGTTTAGCAGTTCAAACGATATTCTTCATGGGATATATTTAGACAAGATGTCAGATTCTAAGACATTGACAGGGCTTATGGAGATGCTGACCTCCATCCTTTCGCAACTGCAACACCTTGGAGTACCATCATGCGCATGTGAAGGACAATATTTTTGCATCCAAAAAGGATGTGCCAGGTACTCGATGAGGCCATTCATATTAGGTTGAATCTGCAAGAAGGATGACGGAAATTCGATAAAAGAGACAAACTTGCAGGAATGAGTTATCATTCATGTAATGTATGAAAATACCACAGGTGGATTATTGAAATTATACTGTTTCCACCCAGGTTTATTAGAAACAAACTGGAAGAAGAAAATACTCAGGTCACATTTAGAACTCATTTATATTCCTTCTTGAATTCAGAACTCATACAACCGATAGTTTCACGGGTGAGGGATTGTTACATAGTTCGGCACAGTGCTCTACAGAGAATTCCAGGCGTCGAATCGGCTGTGAAAGGGGACCTACAGGTGGTCAGCGGCTTTGTAGATGGGCTTGTTTGTGAATGGGTGCCATAATCGGTCGGATGAAGCGGGTGTGAGGGCATAAGAGGGGCAGCTCTTGACGAGAGGTTGTTTAATTGAAGTGGAGAGGACTTCGGCCATTGGGAATCGATCGGGCAGAAAGGTGTTTGTGACTGTGGAAGAACAGAGGAACAAACGAGGTTCTCGTTCTGCTTTGATTTAACGACGAGTCATAGCACTGACGAGCCGCGATTGAGATCCACATTCGCAGGATTTGCGGGATTTTTTTTTTGGCGCCCAGGCAGTCTCGACAGAACAAGGTGAGCATTTAATTTGTTTTTTATTTGATTTTTTTAAAATTAATTTATGTTTTTAATTAAATTATCAATAATAATAATCCACAATGATAGTAGTGAATCAATTTCGTACACAACTCTCCTTGGCCTATTGGTTGAAAGCTTAGGCTTCCAACTAAGAGGTCCAAGGTTCGAGTCCTTTTGTATGCGTTGTGTGGGTGAGTTTGCCTTATATGGCCTAAATGTCCCAAAAAAAAATCAATTTCGTCGATTCTCATGTAATTGTCTCAGAATTTGCATCGATTTGCACACGCAATTTAATTAGGCAAGATTATAGCCTATTTTGCATATTGCCGACGTTCTGAACGAATGGTGAAGTTCGTTTTGCAATCATATGTCATTTGGATGACATCGCACATCAATTTTCTCGATTTGTACGTCATTGCCTCGAGACCCGCACCAATCTCCCCGCGTGATTACATTTTTTAGTATTGACAATGCTCTGAATGCAACAACGAAGTCCGTTTTACGATCGGACATTGTTCGGGCAACGTCGCAGGTCAATTTTGGGTGTCGGACGTCCCTTTTGGCTGATTTCGTCTGATTGACTGCGAGGGGTTCCCTCTTAGAAGAATTTGATGCTCTAATCGCAACGGCGAAGTCCGTTTGGTAATCGGATGTCATTTGACCCTTCAATTGATGCGCCACACTGATGCGCGCGTCACTTAATTAACCGATTTTTCCTCTTTTCGCGTGTTTTTGCATATAAAGGTCAACAGAAGCGTAACGAGAATGCACCTTACCACCAACATAACACACCATGTGGATCACCCTTTGGGCAGCATAGTGATGGAGAGAATGATTATTCTAGTCAAACTATCAAATCAAAATCAAATGTCCCCCATTTGATGGTTGTAATGATCCTATTGTTTTCCCTGAAAAGCTTTCTGCATATAAAGACTATTGTAATAGAATGGTCACTTTGAAACCTAAATGCATCTAAAGACTATTGTAATGTTTTTCATGTTTATGCCTCTAATTTTGTTCATGTGAAGCTTTTTACATCTCTTATGTTTTGTTTATGTGTGTTGTTTTTATATATGTTCATCATTTCCTCCCTTATTGCCTTCCTCTCAACCATTTCCCCAAATCTCTATTTTCTCTCTTCACCGCAGTTATTAAGAACCCAACTATGGAAGTATCAAATGATTTTTAAGCTTTCATTTCCTTTCATCGGAGAGTTGGAAGGAGGCAGACTCAGTCTTGATGATCGTGATGATCATCGGAGGGTTGGAAGGAGGCAGACTCAGTCATTGATCAAGATCTCAGAGAACCTGTAACTGATACCATGTAGAAATGTAAGGATGGCTTGTTCTTGACAGAGCCGAACAGAGAGCCGAACAGAATGTAGGAGGAGATAAGAGAAAACTGTTTTTCATGTCACTCAGGGAAGAAGATACAGAGTTTATATAAACTGAGCTATGTACGGCTTAAGAACAAATAGCCAATAAGAATGTTACACCTCATCATTCATAAATACAAACTTAATACTAATATATTCTAATACTCTAATAATTAAGAACCCAACTATGGAAGTATCAAATGATTTTTAAGCTTTCATTTCCTTTCACCCAATATCATGTTGTAACCTAATTTAATTTGAATGTAGAAAATGAAAAAAAAAAATTGCCATCAGTCAAATTACAATGAATTATGTTACTCTGAAAAACTCACCAAACAAGCTATATTATCTCAAAATAACTTGAAAAACTTGTTGAGAAACAATGAAATGAAAGGTTAAACTGTCTGTATGTTTTTTTTTCTTTTTTATGAGTAAATGGAAATGGTGAAAACTTACAAATTGCTTACAAACATCACACTTTGGGTGATACAGATCTCGGTAGCAAGACAAATGATAGGGGTAATCTCCATACATAGAGAACTGTACAAAAAAGAACCATGAGATAAAATTGAAGTTCTTGAAGAAACTTTATTATTGCACTTTCACAAGCTTACCTCATAATCAGTTATTGGTTGATCACAAGCATAACAACGAAAGCAGTCTGGGTGCCAAATAGCACCCATAAAACTAAGAAATTGCCCATGACCAACTGCATTCTTGCATCCAGCGCAAATCCTACACCAAATATTGTCAGTCCGAGCCCCCAAAAAGAAAAAAATAAGGAAAAAAGTGTAAAAAAAAAAACCTAGAAAAACAAAACAAATAAAAAGAACCACATACTTCCATATAATTGTACTATAGTTTAACAAGAAATAGAGCACAAAAGCTAGAATGGTTGAAGGTCATGCAATGAAGCTGATGCTGTAGCTCAACAAAGCTAGATCTGTGACCATGCAATGATAAATTTTGAAAATGATTCACTGGAGAACTCGTTTTTAAGGCGTAAATTGATTGGCTCGATGGCTCTTCATCTTCTTCTTTTGATGTTGATGAAGAGGAAGTGTTTGAAAAGGATGGGGGTATGCGAGATACTATTGTTCGGATGGGTAAACGAAGAAAGAGGAAATCTAAAAAATAACTTTGTTGTGGTTGGCTTGGTGGCTGCTGCTTTGGATCCTTGGGGTTGTTGCTGTGGTGCCACTTTTTGGATCTCTGGTCTTCGGATTTGGATGTCTCTTTTACTCTGGTTATGTCGATGACTGCTGGATTGTTTCTTTCCTCTACTTGGAGTTGTTTTTGGGCAGTTTGAGTTTAGCCTTTTCTTGTTTTGTCTTTTCTTTTCCTGTATTAGGTAGTATCTAAAGCTCTTAGGTTTTATCTCAAATGTTGTTCTTTTAGTGAGCTTCTGATCCTCTAAGAACATATACTTCTTATCATGATTAACGCGTAGGCCCCACCGTGGGTTCTCCAAAAAAAAAATAGTGCTTAGCATTGTTTTCTGTTGAAATTAAACGCCCATAAGACATTTGAATTTAATTATTTCCTTATATTGCACAAGCACTGAGAATCAGTATATTCAAACAAACCATCCAAAAGATACCGGGATAATGTTAGTTTCATGTCCTATGGATCGAAAGAGGTTATGGCTGTCTTATTTCAGGAACTTCAAAACTTAAAAGCATAGAAAAGGAAAATTTTGACGAGCATGGCCTAGCTTAGACGGCAAAGATGCAGGATGACTCAAGGTTATAGTCTCATAATGCAACCAATAGGATGCGCAGTAACATTCCATGCAACGAAAAATTGAAGATTCACATATCGCAAATCACTTATTAATTAAATAACTTTTTAAAATGTAGATAGACAATACTAGAATGTAAACCAACTAAAGGTATAATGATCAAAATAATTCGATAGTTTCAACCAAAAATTAGAAACATTAAATCAGCAAGAAAAATTAGGTGCACTTTTGTTGTTGGTACAATGAGTTAACATCAAGAGTACTAAATAAGTCATTGTAAATGAAATATAATAAAGAAAATAATTACCAAAGTAAGAAAAAATAAACTTCATGTTGGTACAAGGAGATGACATACTTTGAAATTAGGTAGTCGCAGGTGTACTCACTTGAAAGAATCATGCATTCAACTTGCACTTACAAAATTGAAACTAGAAGGGAAATGTTATCAAGCCAAAAGAAGTTGCATGCCTCAAGAAACCTATTTATAGACTCATAATTGGCTGAGTTTTAAGTTTGATAGAAAATCTAGCAATGAGATTATTAGTAACAGTGAATCCTCAATTTTAGAACTCCTTGTAAAATTTTTAGCCAAATAATCTTCCAAATGAACTTTCCAGGAGGCCTATTTATCAACTTGGTAAGATCAATTTAGGAGTGCCCAAATAATTTATCGATGCTCATACGAAATGAACAAAGATGGTATTTATGTCCGACTAATCATCATAAATTGTGAAGACAAAAGATTGGTCAGCAAGTACAAAGGATGATTTTGCTGACCCACCTAAACTTGATTGAGTAAGATTTGCAACTTTGGATCACTACCATGACCAATAATAAAAAATTATGGGCGTAGTTTGGGGTGATGTATAAGCAATGAAGTTTTAACAAATGCTAGCACAGCTTTATAAAAATGCTTTGGCTCTTTCATGAGAAGAGTTCTATTTATTTCTTTTATTTTCCTGGTCAATTAATGAAATCATGTTTCCAACATACCAAACACATTTGAATTAGATCATAGTTTTCTATGGCCCATAACTTCACATCAGCCCATTTGCTACATCCTAAGAAAATCTTTTCAGCATTATAAACTTTCAATGTACTAGCCCTTATTGTATTTAATTCTCTAACTTAGACATACTTGACAATATTGTAATAGTGACACTCAAACTCTAAAATTAAAGAAAAATTAATCCTCGATAAGAAAGCAAAAAAAAAAATACCCCGAAAAAAAAAAAAAAAAAAAAAAAAAAAACATTTCTATCATTCTATGATCACAAATCATATAGACAAACACTAAAAATTCAGAAGTGGAGCATGCAAGAAATAGTTCTTCAAGCAATACCTCGATTTCGTGTGGACGAAGAATGATGATGGTTGATAGATGTGACCATTTTGCCAAGGAGGTGATTCTAAGCTTTGTTCAGGAGGCGAATCTATGTTTTGTTGAGGAGGCGATTCTACATTGTCTCGAGGAGGTGATTCTATACTTTGTCGGGGAGGTGATTCAATATCTAAACTTTCTTGCAAAGCCCTAGCAAGTTGTTCATCTTCGTCCACATCAAATTCAAATTCTATAAAGAAATAAAAAAGCTGGTCAATAAAGAGGACATGAAAAACAGTCTACAAATTGGTTCAGATGAACAATCAAGTATCACAAATGAGCAAACGTAATAGGAAAAAATAGTCAAATAGAGTACAAACTAGACCAAGCATGTTAATTCGTTATGAATTTGCAACAGGTTGAAGGTGAAAAATGTTTATAAATATTAAAACATTGAAAAGGAGTGAACGTATACATAGAGAACAAGCATGATAGACTTTACAAGCAAACTCAGCACTAACAAAACTCTTAAAGAAAATAACATAAACACTAATATAGGGGAAAAAGCAACCTAACTTTACATAGGTTCGTGAAAAAGGCCACTGCAACAAAATGCATATTGTCCTCGAAATAGTTTGAATCATTTTGACAATAATCAGTTATACTGAGGAAGGTTTAATGTATGCAAACGAGAAATTTTGTTCCTCCTGAGGTCTTTCTTCGGTGCTGGTCTGATTTCATGATCTACTTTTGAAACCCTGGATCAGTTTCAAGAAAACAGACCATAAGTGCATATTTTTCTTCTCTCTCTCTCTTTTTTTTTTTTCCTTTTCTTTTGAGAAATAGAATGAGAGAAATGTAAAAATTGAAAGATTCGTACAACTTCATTCAAACTCAAATAAGCTGTCTTAAATTTGGAAAGCTCCTAACAAGGAATCCTTCCCTTCAAAAGCCTTTCATATCATAAAGGAATTGCAACTTGGTCCTTCACAAATCAAAGCTTCTTATAGTTTAATAGTTATAATAACGCTGATGTAGCATTCCACACATAATATGCACCTTATTTTAGCAATATCTCTTTCAAGTGCCGCTCGCAGTATGTGGGCTCCGAAAATTCACGCCCCGGCCTCTCTGCGGTCTCTTTCTCTTTTTCGGGTCGTCGAGGAGAGTTTTAACGTTTAAGTTCTGAGGAAAATTTTCAGAAGGCAGATTGGGTTTTGAATAAGACATTACCCAAAGATTTCGCTCTCATATTGCAAGGACTTGATGATCTGAATTCAAGTTTCCTATAGGCACAAGCCCTATAGTTAATTACCTCTCCCAATATCGAGAGAGAACTTTCGAATAAGGTTAGTCGTCAAATAGATACGTAATATCCAGCGTATAGTAGCAGCATAATTTGGTATTTAAAATTAGAAATTCACCACCTTACATTGGATGGTGGGAGGAATGATGATAGACCCGACCAAGATCTCATGATTCCGTCGTCCCGGGTCATCATAGTCCCTAATCTACTTGGTCAGAGGAGGTAGTCAACCCAACTTGACCAAAGGATCCTCATCGACAGCCATTGGTTGCTTCATCCAAGGATACTTTGTAGACATCGGGTGAATATTTGCATAAATGAACAAATTTGAAGAAACATTAGATAATAGAGGGTTTTGTGCCCTATCAGTCATATCATATTTATTCATTACTCAAATATTTGAAACCGTTGGAGAACAAACGGGCTCTGACCATGACTGTAATTTAATGGTGTCATTTGGCGGCAAAACCACTCAGTCAAAGAGTCTTGGTCATAACTGTTTACCTTTGGTGTCATTTGGCAGCGAAACTACTAGTTAGAGGACACGAGCAATGTTCTAACTAGCAAGAAATGTATTGAGAATGAATCTCTCAACATTGTTTGTGAGTGGGTTGTAGCACTACGCTATGGGTCGCTCATTGATTCTTGCATATGAGTTGTCGTACCATGCAAGATTTGTTGAATATGTCTGCAAGTCGTCAGTGGATATCCAATGGTCACTAGCCGTCATATGCAGACCGCTGTCTACACGACAAATTTCTTGTATTGACTCGTAGATGCTTGCATCTATCACAGGCTAGTTGCTTTTGTCTGCATATAGTGTGTAGCACTCACTGCAATCTTCTTACTCATGCCTGCAGAGAGTCCAATTGTTTGCAAGTGTTTATGTTCATAGCGGGTTCTTGACCCTTGCTTGCATACGGACTGCAGTGGCATTACTTGTATGCAAGCTACACTCACTTCAAATTCTTCAAACACCTCTTAGTTGACAATTCATTGCGTAATCAATCGCCGCTGCTTGTATGGTTGAAGATGTTTGCTTATATTTTAATGTTGATTGCAGGAATACCGTAGCATTCGTCATTGTGTATTATTAATGCTTTACTCATGGATGTGTTGCTCAGTGTAGTTGCCCTTGATTTTTTGTGAGCATGATTGAAGTGAGTATTACACATCAACTATTATTATCCATGTGTCAAGGACTTTGCATGCTCGCTTTCACTCGACCAACCGGGTCGTAGATCAATCCCCTGATGATGCAAATATCTTTCACAACTATTTGAGACGTTTTAAATACATCGATGTGACTTTTTTGTTAAATGTTTCTTGATGGATAAGTTTTTTTATCCATTCAAGTGATACATTTCAAAGTAAATTTATAGGATATCGAGTCAATCTTCCACCATTGTCATTGCATTAGTATGAATTTATTGCGAAACAAATATGAAGGTTAATGCAATCATTTATAAAGTCATAAATGAAATACAATGACTATTTATAAGAACAATATGACCAAAAAAATGGCATAATATCTCCTTAAGTTTATATAAAATAAAACAATATATCTAACTTAAATAATAACTAAAGATAGTTGGCTTTCAAAATGCTCTAAATTTAGTAGAACATCAACATCAATGATAAATTGCTTTAAGGTCTTTATCATTGCAGGTAGCCAAGTTGGGTGTGATAGAACATAGAAGATTAAGATGGTTGTGTGAAAAAAATAGGAAGAGCTTATTAACAAACAGGAGGATTCAAAAAGGTTAACCCCAAATAATTGAGATAAAGTTAATGAGGATGATCTAAGAAATAGTGCATGTATATTATATTTTTTAACTGAGTTGCAAAGAAAATGAACAATGAAGTATGTAAACACTTCAGGTTTTCAACAAAACAGAGCAAATTCTAATATTTATAGTCTTGATACTCTCAAGAGCTATTATGTCCTGTTCCCCAGATCTTTTAATTATATCAGTAAGGTGGGATCGAAGGATTTCTTACTTTTGTAACAACAATAAGGTAATTATAGCCCAAATTATATTGAAGAGTGGGACAAAGAAAAAAAGGAGGGGGGAGAGACGAACAAACATTAAGTAGTGGCGTTCAGTAAATATAAATAGTAAACATAACACTAACCAGTGGCATTTGCATTCTTTGGGTCCTCCACTGAAAGGGAAAGTGCAATAGCATGATCCAGATCTTCACTTTCATATCCCGAGTATGGCTACTAAATAATCCATTCAAAAGAAATTAGTTCACAAACTTGAGGCAATAGAATGTGAGGCTCTTGAACCTCCATTTGGGTAACATTATAAGTAAAGAACAAAAGTTCCAAAAGATTAACGGAATGTAAAAACAACTAAAATTTCAAGTATAGCATATTTACCAAAAATTCTAGTTAATTTTTGCGAGATCAGATTTAGGTGATTACAGATAGTGATTTTGTTTGGGACAGCTTTCTTACTACTTCTTAAAATAATTTTTTTAGTACAAAATTTATAGGAGCCTTTATAAAACTTCATTTATAACATTTTACGGCACATTGAGATGAATGCTTATACACTGAAATCCAAAGAAGTAATAGCATTAGTCCAATCGTCAATGTATTTTATTTTATTTTATTTTATTTTATTTTATTTTATAAATCAGTTGTCAGTACTTTGGATTGTTCTATTTTTATACACATCAAGCACTTTATTAGACAGATCAATTAAGTTTGTTCCTAAAGCTATTATAAATTATGAGTTTATATCCATTATTAATATCTTATTAATTTTCAAGATAAATCCATTTGTGATGATTCATTATTACCGTATAAAAAGCATAGTAGTTATACCCATACTTGATAAATATCAAATGTGAATTTATTAAAGCCAAATTTTTCTGTCAGTCTGATTTTATGAAAATCTAAAAATGTATACTCATCAAAAAAGTGGACATTGAGATGAGCATTATGAGTTTGAGTTGAATTTTCTTCCTTTTTTAGTTTATCTTTTCATAAAACATGCATTTGATGATTATCTCATTAGGAATGGGTTATGTTCTCCAGTGTTGTGATTATCACTTTAAAGTTTGATTTACGACTACAAGTCTAATCCATTCAACTATTGGATTTTTTAATTCACCTATTTAGATTTCATTGTTTCAACAAATATCTAGTTGCATGTTCACTTTGATTTGGTTTACTAAATCCAAGTTCTTGCAATAGTTGAACTCATCTTATTCCTGTTAAGGGAACTCCGCTATTTATGGCACTATCGCATTTGTGATTTTCTTCTTTAAAATTGTAAATTAATTGTTTTGCTGAAACTAAGAGTAAAAATTTGTTATACTTGGTGGAATTCAAATGTTCTAAATTAAAACTTGTAGTATTAGGCTAGCTTCTAGAGGATTCTAAGAAATTTCTTGTTTTGGGTCTTTTTCGAGTTATAAAAAGAACCATTTTGCATGTAAAAGATCTCCATTTGATTATTTTTTATTCATTATCTTTCTTCCATGTTGTTAAATTATTGGTTGGTGTGCATGATTGAAGTTTTATCAAGTTTGATATTTGTAATTTTGTTTTATGGTGTCAATCTTCGTAATCACAAAACTTTATCGTGTTTCAGATTTCATGACTTTTATATTAATGCTTGGAATGAGTAAAGCATATTTTTCAATTTTATATCAAAATTGACTAATCTTACCTTAAATTAATAGTCGAGAATATACAAATTGTGAATTCTTTTTTCTTAAACCTTAGACCCAAAGATGTACCACATCAATGATATCATAATTTGAATTTTTAAGGGGGGTACACACAATAAAATCCCTAAGCTATATGTGTGTTGCTTTCACAATTTTGCTATCATGGGTAAAGTACTTACAAAGTAGATACATTAATATTTCTAAGTAGCATTGACAAAATTTCTCATAACTAATAACAACACAATATTAGAAAAATAATTCTAAATCATTTAATCATTTAAGAATGTTGACTAAATTTTATAACTTCCTTTTGTGATAATCCCAAAGCTTATATGACAAGTATGTGGATGAATACCAGGCAATAAGAGTAAGATTTGTTGTCTTAAATGGTAACCATCATGTGGGATACTGCGTAGCAGATGGCTTTCAACAAGAATTGATACCATGAACACATACAGAGTTTTACACGAGACAGAAACTTATCCTGTACAAAACAGAGCAACTAATTCAATATGACGCTTGGAAGATATATGACTACTGCAACTAGTAGGACTTCCTCTTCTGAAGAAATAAAGTTTGATTGAAATTTTTTCTAGAAGCCTCGAAGGGGGGATTTCATAAAGGATATTAAGTTGTGGGAAAAGTGTTTTATGAAGTATTTTAAAATTCCAGTAAAAGAGCAGATTTTCCAAAAAAAAAATCCCCAAAAGTAGATAAGCCTTCTTTAGATACCTCTTTTGCAGGAGCTTTCTACTGCTACAAAGAAGATGAAAAAGCTCAAGGAAATTATTCCCAAGACAAGGTATCTCACTAACCTCTCTTTCCCAAGGAAACGGTTGTCCTCTATTAAGTGTTAAGGTTTTCATATATTCAAGTATTACAGTTTAACTGGACATTAAGAACATTAAAAGCAAATAAAGGTTTCAATATTTGCAAAAAGGAGAAGGTGAGTAGTTGTTGGGCAATGTAAGTACCAAAGAATTTGAGGTTTCATTCCAATTGTCATTATCACTAGATTTCCCACGGTATTGCCCTCGTGATATTTTATGTCTTGAACCTTTGAAAATCTTGCTCAGCCAACCCATTCTATGAGACTTTTTTCACATGAAAATTCAAAATATCCTGCAAAAAGAAAAAGTTATAATATGTCAGACCGGAACAGATACAAATAAGAGTTTCACGGCCCACAAAAACATCAGACTCTTCAATGAGGATTTCGAAGCAACATTCAAAATCATTGGGACTAAGTGTGTAAATAACTGAGACAGGCAGAGTATATAAGACTGCCCAAGCTTTCTTCGTTAAGGAAAACCAAGCTACAGCTTAGAAAAACTTCAAAATTCATCAAAAGCTTGATTCAATTATTTCCTACCAAGTTTGAACAAAAGGAGAGATTTAATCAAGGTTCACTGATTGGTGTAGATAAAGAGTCTTTGAAAGCAAATCAAGTACTTGAACAAGTTTATAAGCAAACATAAACAAGAACATGAATCACTTAAAAAAAATTGTGGATTAAATTGAGCAGACTTATTGAAGCACTTATACAAACTTTACCCTTAAATGAACAAAATATCAGAATTGTTATCAAGTATTTATTTTTTTAAGCATAATAATATTAATTATTTTCTTGATTGAAAGAAGGGCATAGGGCTAGTAATATATGAGTATGGATGTCGGCACAATCCGATTATTGATTAAATCTCATGTAAGGAGTTAGAGATTATTTGATTAATAGAGTCACAAGACAAATTCAAACATGTATCCCCTACTATAGGAATCAGCAACCATACCACTTGAGAGCTCTTTGGTTATCAATTATGTACCTAAATCACTAACAATATTTAGGTTATAGGCTACTGAAAGAACTGTAAACAAGCATGTTTCTGAGAAGTAAGGTTTTGGTTGTGTCACTTATATATTACTTTTTAAAAAGCAGCCTCAATTTATATGAGATATAAGCTTAGAAATTCACCATTTTACGTAGGCGCTGTAGGACTTCATAAACATAAAGATTGAATTATGAAGTAATTCTATTTTCTATAAGAGATTTAGAAGATTTTATTTCATGCAATGCAGCAATTGTACAAATGGAGCCTAAATGAGTTGTTCACTGCAACAACAACATCAAGCATTTTTCCCACTACGTGGGGTCGGCTATATGAATTTTTTTTTTCTCCATTGTGTTATGTTAAAAGTCAAATTCTCGTTTAATTCTAATAAAGAAAGATCATTTCTAATATTTTCTAACCAAGTTGGTCACTGAACAATTAAAAAGCATGCCAAGAACTTAATTGAAACATTGATTAACTAAGGTTATCTATGCATAAAGTTTTAAAATTCCACCATCGAAGAAAGCCCGACTGTTCTGCCATATCAGGATCAAAAAAATTTTATAGTTTAAGGAAAAAACATATGCAATCTGTAATAAGATGAAAATTGATATGTTTGTTGAGTCTATAGGTTTTCTAGAACTCCAAACTAGAAATTAACACCCACTACCGCCACTAAACATCTGCGCTTTCACAAACTATTCAATCTTACAAGAAAGGATCAAAATAGTCAAAAAGAAAGAAAAAAATTGTCAAGAAAAGTACCATTTAAAACACAAGTCAACACAAAGTCAATTTTCTTTTAGTTCATCAATCAAACAAGAGAATTAGAAAGAAAGTATACCATCCATTGACTCACACCAATATAGTAGATGTGATGTTTGACACAAGTAAAACCAAACTGTTGAAAGATCACCAGGTTCGTATACTTTTATAAAAAAAACTATTTTCCATACCTAATTTAATGATGCATAACGGTAGTTTGCAAACGACTTCTTGAGTTGAAAATATGATACCAAGCAAAGAAGTGAAAGGGATGGATGCCTATTGAACAAAATTCTTCCACGTCATGCTAATATTTGTCCATCATCGCCAAAATCCGTGTTCTCAAACTTTAACCAGTTTAAAATGACTTAAACAATGATCAAAAGATAAACTTTTGATCCAGAAATGTAGAAAAAACAATCATCACACCCTTCACCACAATTGAAGGCAAGAAAATCATACAAATTCTAAAAAAATTACAAGAAGAAATATGTTGTCTCAAAAATCAGGCCTCAGCTAAGAAAAAACTGTCAAAAAGCCGAGCAAAAAATTTTCTGAAACAGTTCAAATTGTCCTCTATTGATAAAACAGTAGTAGAATTCTCAGTGAATTCATCATCATCCATATTTCTATCATTTTTAACAATCATATATAAAAAATAACCACTTATCAAATGAGAAATGCATGATATAAAGAAGGTTGCTGGTAACTCTGCGCATTATTACCAAAGATTTTATGTAAATTAAGAATTTGATCAATACATAGATCATCAAACACCCAAAACCTAGAGGATAAAATCCCATAAAAACTCAACAAACCTCCTCCCACCCCAATTCCCAATTCGTAATCACAACAACAAACCATAGAACAAAGAATTACCAGAATAAATCTCCAGAAAATCTGATTCCGCTATATGTAAAGTGGATAATTGGCCCAATCTGACTTCAATACCGAAAACAAAAAACTAAAAAGTACGCGATTCTCTACAAATTACCCAGTACCAAAAAGTCAATAAGAAGGCATGCCTTGAGGTTTCTTTCACTCTCGATTACTCCTCATTTCGTCGCCCTGTTTGTCGCAATCCCAAAAGAACTTCGGTAAAGCCATTCAGATGTGGGGCTTCGTAACAAATATGGATTTATAGGTGCTGGGTCCTTTTCAAGTGGTTTGTACCCATTCCCACGCGGGTCCTTCCCACTCTTCCCCCCTATTACAGCAAGCAGCGACAGAAGAAGAAGAAGAAGAAGAAGAAGAAGAAGGGAGGAGAAGAAACTGTAAAGTTTCGGCCTTTTGCAGTGATTAATACTCATGAAGACTAAATTGGCAAGCGGAGGAGTAAATCTTTTCTCCCACATGGAAGAAGGCAGGACGTGCAAGAGACAATCCGGAAGAGGAAGCCATTAATGGAATATATATCGGAAAATTATCTAAAGATATCATTATATTTATATATGAGGTATTTTAGTATTTACTTAAATATCACTTTTATTTCATTTTATTAACTTCTAAAATTTAAATATTTTATATCTATCACACTTATAAATGAAATATAGGTACATAAATAAAATATTAAAATTTATAATCTGATATATGAGAGATTATTACGTATCATTCAGACTTCAATTACATAAAACTATGTTGACTTTTTGTATAAGAGGGAGAAAAAAGCCACGTGGCTCCACCTGATTAGAGTCCAGGCGAAATTTAGATTCCGCACCTTTTTTTTGTATTGGTGATAGGAATGAAATATAAGAGTATCATATTTGATATTAAAGTTGTATTTAGATGGTAGGTATGAAAAATTAAAATTTTAGGTATTAGATATGTAATTAGCATGAAATAAAGTTGTATGAATGTAAATCCTCCTTATTCTTATAGATTTTAAAATTTTTAATTTATATTGAATTTAATCTATTATAATATTCTAATTTTAAAATAATTTTAAATTTCAAAATTTATTCTAATAGAATATTTTGATGTATATATAACAAATCTTAGAATGACATAAATCATTATTTGAAAAATAAATAAATTAATTAAATTGGTTGATTTTTTTAAAGTATAGATTGGTGATTGTAATTTTGATTTAAATAGTTATGAATAAAAAGATTTGCAAATCAGATTGAATTAACATATTTGAAAAAAAAAAAGTTGAATTGAATCATTTTTAAAGAGTCATAATGATAATTTTACAAATATAGAGGTGGATTTTTATTTGGATAATCAAATTCCTAATTTTTAATGAGTCCATTAATGATTTTCTTAATCAAATAAAATTCAAGATAAAAAGCACAATGCAATAAATGTAAAATATGATTTGCATATTTACCCCTAGGATTAAGATATTATGATGCAACCAATACTGCCTTTTACTGATATTTAATTAGGAAAGAATTATTTATTAGTTAATATTTTAGCAAATTTGAATTATAATAAAGTTTTGAATGAGCTTTTTTGACAATAATGTTATTGACTTAAATAAATAATAACATAATTGACAAAAAAATATATTTTAAGTATGTTAGACCAAGTAGCCAAGTAGGGTGACTTTACAAATTTCTCTTCAACATGAATGAAGGTCATTGCTTGGTTGATTTAGATTTATGTTTGACTAGGTTGACTTGATGTTGATTGGAGTTTGACCAAGTTGACTTCTTGATCCTCTATATTAAGATTTTATAGAAAAATGATTCAAAATATATTTCAAGATCTTCCATGATCATTATCACTCTCATGAACATTTGCATGAACCATCTTTTGGGATATTAACTCTAATTAGGCATAGCACTATAATTCAATATTTATGAATGATATATTATCAAAAAATTATCTCGATCAAGTACGAATCTCAAATCAATTTTGAATTTGAAACTTTCAAAATTAAATATAGGTCCATCTGAAGCCTGATTTCAACAAACTTATAGTCAAATTGAATGACTCGAAAAGATAAACCCAACGACACCAAATTCGACCTAATCTGAGCCCAATGGATCAAAAATTGATGACCCCAAGCACATTTAGAAGGTTTAAATTATAAATTTGATAATAAAATGATTTCTAAATGTTGCATGCTTATAGTCTAATCGAGCATCTCGTTGAGAAGAACTCAACGAGACCAAGAATTATAAATAAATCAAGGGAATCGATATCGGTCGTCCATTCAAACCACTCCCAATGTGCCATTCATTTTCTCTATATTTACTTATCGCGTCACTCCCTAAAAATTATAAATAAATTCCTCATTCTTCACTGAAGGGGGGGAGAAAGAAGGAAATGATGAGAAAAGAAAGAGAAAAAGACATTTGAGATATTTCTTGCCACCAAGCTTTTTCTCAACCATGGCCCTACCACCCATCAATGTCAGACTTTCACTGAACTTCTACTATGCCACCAACTTTCACCAAACTTATGTCTAGCCATCGATTGTCACTGAACTTCCGCCCCGATCACCAACGAACTCTAGACACATGTTCGGATATCGACTTCGTCTGACTACGGTCCTTCCGACCAACGTCATTAACTACAGTCTTTCCGACCTCTATTGCCTGCTGACTACGGTCTCTCCTACCACCATCTCCAAACTACAATCTCCTAGATCGTTGTCGCATGACTATGGTCCTTTCGACCACTATTACTAGACAACAGTCTTTTCGACCTTCGTTGCCTGCCTATTATGATTCTTCTGATTACCGTCGTCCGACTACAATCTTTATGACTTTCATCGCCTATTGATTATGGTTCCTCCAACCAACATCATTCGTCAATTTATGGCCTGTTGACCAAACTAACGTATCAATGCTTACTCTTCCAACTCCCACTATATAATAAACTTTATATGATGTAATTTGCTACATCGAGCCATGGCCTCTTTCCCAAGGAATGGCTTCATTTGTAATTAAATATAAATAGTAGTGGCTTCATTTAAACTGGGTTAGACTCTGTGGTTTTTCCCCTTTTTAGAATTTTCTACGTAAAAATATTGGTGTCTCTTATGAGTATTGAATCCTGCTCTTTTATGTGCATGAATGCTAGATCTTTGTACAAAACTAATATGCTAAACTTTATATTTTTTTTACCGTCGTGAATATTTAAGGATGAAACAATAGCCAATTTGAATTCTTAAAAATAAAACTCATGCATCTTTTGCTATTACCCATTTTTTGAATCCATTGGTTTATCAATTTATGATGCTTCCACTATCGTATGTTTTGCTATACCCTACATTATGATAGTCAATATTCATCTCTTTTGACCATTATCTCCCTCATGATTGTCTGCACGGAACTCCTTTTGCATAATAATTCAAATTAGACTTAGTTGCTCCAATCTTGAAGACATTTTTCTAGAAGCCAATATTTGTGACCATTTTGAATCCTTATAAATGAGACTCATTCCCCCATTATGATAGTCAATATCTATTTGTCCTTTTTTTTTGTTTGAAATTTAATTTTTATAATTATACTATTAAATTTTTTTTATTAACTTGCTAATTATGTCTATTTAGACAAATAAAAATATATCATAGTAACCTTTAAATAGACTTAGACTATTTATTTTTGCTTGAAATTTTTATGATATAACATATTCTCACACAAAATATTTTAATTTTTTCTTAGTTTGTTTGATATATTTTAAAATTCTTGAGAATATATTAAAATTAGTTTTAATAAACAAATTATTTTATTCTTTCAGAATTTAGTTATACTTCATATTTAATTGAATTCATTAAACTTCTTCTACTTTTATTTCATATATTATGTTTCCTATTTTTGATAAGAAACGAATCCGTTATAATTTTTGAAAGCCTGTGACCTTAGAGGGCCTCCGTTAAATGCTAATGGGCCTTTGAATCCATAAATTTCAGCGGTTCCATGAAGATGTGTTAAGAAACAAATTTTAATTTTAGATATATTTGTTAATCAATCAATCTCAAGGTAAGGCTTCTTTTGGGGAACAATTATTAGGTCCGGACACTGGACGTAGCTCTACATCCGGAGATCAATAACATGTCGTCACGTGCTCTTACTCTTTACCGCGCGGCCCAATGACCCGACCCGGAACGAAACTCGGTACTGCTATGTTCGGGTATTGCTATGTATTGCTTGACAATAACGAAAAACATCGCTCTGTCAAGACCAATACATAGCAATATCGAGAAATACCTAGTAAAACCGGGGTATTGCTAGATATTGGTCTTGACAGAATGATATTTTTCGTTATTGCCAAGCAATATCGAGCAATACCCAGCAATACCCCGATCTGCACAAATCAGCCAATACATAGCAATCCCGGGTCCGGTCCGGGTTGGGTCATCAGGCCGCGCAGTAAATAGTAAGAGCACGTGGCGTCTGAACGTAGAGCTATGTCAGGACACCAGACCTAATAAAAATTCACTTTTTGGATCGCTTATGGCCACTCTTATTCCACTGCTTCTCATAAATTTTCATACTTAAAAATTATATTAAAAAGTAGTAAGAAAACTATCCCAAGCAAAACCTAATTGATATGAATGTGAAATTACACTATGAATCCAAATTCAAATCTTAATATTATATATAATAATGAACTTTTAAAAACCTTAGTATTTATAAATTGATTTCATATAAAGTCCCAAAGTTTCATACTATAGATTCTCCTTCTCTCTTTGGTTTTTTACTCATTTAGTAATTCTTGTTAGTAAGATTCTCGTGTTATCGGCGAATAAATTGGATGCATAGAATCGAGTTCTGAACATCTCTTTTGAATCTTAGGGGTGTCAATTGTTGACCCGACTCGGAAAATTTGGAATCGAGTTGGGAAATCTGACCCGTTTATAAAATCGAGTCGGATTATGGTTGACCCGTTTGGACCCAGGCCAATCAGGGTTGGACCCAAATCCGACCCGTTGACCCGTTTTGACACCCCTAATGAATCTAATGATCAAACTATACTTTCAAACCCTAGGTTCGAATGATATTCAAATAAAGTTTGAACTTATAATATGGGGCTTGAATATTCAAATAAAGTTTGAACACATGACACATTAAATCTCTTGACTATACTTTGAGATTAGTGCAATACATAAATATTTAATATTTTACTCTTCTTGTAGTAGATATGAAGGCTTTAAATTGCATTTTAATTAAAAAAAAAATTAATCATAATATTCTAATGTAAATTTCTTATCATAATATGAAACATTCTAAAAAATTTTATACTCAAAAGTTACTTTTGAAAGCAATACGAAAGATATTCCAAACAAAGCTTAAGATGCTTACAAGAAATACTATACCAAATATATATTTTGATTAAATATTTTAATTATATATATATTCATTTCTAAGTATCCTTAAATATCTTCTTGCAAAAAAAGAAAAGTTGAGGTCTTAAATTATAAAAAACCCAAAAAATAA